CAGAAGAAGGAAACAGACAGAAAGAAGATGAAGGGTTCCTTGGAAAAGATTGAAGAGAAACTAGAGGAGGAAGAAGCAAAGAAAATGGAAGAAAAGATAAGCTTACAGAAAGTTACAGGAACTTTTTAAAAGAGGGAAATCGCTAGGAGCAGATGGACTGCCTACAGAATTTTACAAGAAGTTTTGGGCATGGGTAGGGAGGGATATAGTGAAATTTTCAATGAACTAGCAGAAACAGGAGAGGCAGGGAAAGATTTCTACAAGAGGCGATGTAATCTTACTATTCAAGAAAGGGGAGAAGGAACTCCTGTAAAAGTGGAGACTGATTACATTCTTTAATATAGACTATAAGTTAATGGCTAAGACGTTGGCTTTGAGGATCAGGAAGAACCTCCAGAAGATAATACATGAAGACTAAGTATGCCCACTACAGTGTAGAAGGATCTCCAAAATGATCATCAGAGTGATTAGAGATACACTCTCCCATATCCAAGAGAGGAAAACAAGCACAGTTAAAGCAAACATAGATTTAGAAAAAGCGTATAATAGAATGGATCATGATTACATATTCGAAGTGCTAGAAAAAATGGGGTTCCCTGAAAAATGTGTGTGTTTGATAAGGTTGTTGCATAGAGAAGTGGAGAATCAAGTCCAAATTAATGGAAACCTAGACAGGGTCTTTAAAATCCATACAGGGGTAAGACAAGGGTGCCCCCTGTTGCCGCTACTATTTTGTGCTAACAGTTCCATGCCATACAAAAGACTAAGAACAAATAAGATCATAAGCAGAGTAAAGATACCAGAAGGGGGAAGAGGTAAAATGTATACTATACATTGGTTGTGATAAATGTAGTGGTTAGAGAGAGACTTTTAATGGAAAGGGTGCTAAAACACATCAGAGTATGGAGAAGTGATGGGGGCTAAACAAAACCGATTGAAAAGCACTATAATAGGAGTGGGGAACTGGAGGTACTTGGAGAAGTTGGGCCTTCAAATGAGAGGGAGAAATCCGAGCACTGTGGATGCTGAAGGGAAAGGTAATACAGCATGGGAAAAAGTGGCAGCAAGGCTATAGCAAATACTTTGGTTATGGTCCAGAAGGATACTGTCCTCTGCTGGAAAAGTAGCAGTGTTTAAAGTTGTGCTGCTGTTTATTTTATATATAGGAATTGTATTCCCACAGACGTGGTGGCAGATAGCAAAAGTACAGAGGGAAATATATGTGTTCTTCTGAAATGCCAAAAGAGAGAGGCTGGCCAGAGCTGAACTGTACAAAGCAAGGGAAATGGGAGGATGGGGGCTGCTGGCCTTGAAATTGTTCAGCTGTGCGAAATATGCAAGCGCAATATGCGCAGTGGTGATGGAAGGAGAGGAGAAAGAAATGTGTCACCCAGTTTCATGCAGCTGCAGTTTTGAGGAAATGGACGGTATATCAGACCTCTTTGAAGAGTCCATGGGCGTGGCAACCCCCAATTCATTACATCAGGATGGAAAGGTTCATGCAGAAGTATAAAATAGGAAAGGTAGGACTGGAGATCCTGAAGGATCATAGGAACTTGATGGAAGCGGTAAGGGAGAGAGACAAGATGGTGCTGGTAGGAAACTTCACAGAAGGACAAGTGAAGATGTGGGGAGCAGTGGTGGGTAGACAATGAAAAGGGCAGCATGCTGATCTAGCATGGATTATTGTAAGAAATATGTTGCCAGTTAGAGGTGCAATACATATAGGGCTTGATGAGCTCGTCAGGGTGCCAAAGGGAGAGATGCGGGAAGAAGAAACAGCGGGATGTGTTTTGGAAGTGCATATGTGCAAAGGGAATGTGGAAAAGGGTCTGCTGCTTTCTGAGTGTTACCAAAATAAGCCTGTTGTTAGTGTGGGAGGTGGTACTAAGTGGATTCATACCAAAGGGACCAGCGGAAACTTTAAGGATTTTATTAGCATGTGTTAAAACTAGTTTATGGAAAGTCAGAAACCTCTGGATGTTTAAGGGGTTGGCTTTCACTGAACGAGATTGCCTGAAGCTGGGGCTGCACAAACCAAAATAATACATTAATTGAGATGAGGAAGAGACTTGAGAGGAATGGGTGGAGAAGTGGAGGAAAAAGGAGCTCCTACTGGAATCTCAGTATGGGTTTTAAGTCATCAAGAGGCATGATTGATGTGATCTTCACAGCTTGCCAGCTGCAAGAAAAATGCTGGCAGCAACATAAGCCTCTCTACATGGCTTTCTCTGACCTCATAAAAGCTTTCAACTCTGTCAGCCAAGAAGTGTTGTGGAGGATCCTTCTGAAGTACAGATGCCCACGAAAATTTGTCATTATTCTTTGCCTGCTCCACAATGGTATGTGAGTGGTGGTTCGCAGTAATGGATCTATCACAGATCCCTTTGTGGTTAAAACAGCTGTTAAGCAAGGCTGCATCATCACTCCAGCACTTCTCAGTATTTCTGCTGTAATGCTACATCTGACCACCAACAAACTTCCAGCCAGAGTGGAGCTAAACTACTGAATGCAGATGGTAAGCTGTTTAACCTTGGCCGACTCAGAGCCAAAACCCAAGATGACCCTGAGCTCAATCATTGAACTTGAGCACATGCTACAGCATACTGACTCAGAAGCAGACCTTTAGGCAATCGCTGACGTCTTTACTGAGGCATACAAGGAAATGGGACTGATGCTTAATATTTAGACGACTAAGGTCCTCCTCCAACAAGTTCCTAATAAACAGTCCGCAGCTTCGGTAATCCAGATCCATGATGAGACTGGAGAACATTGAATATTTCCCATACCCCATCTCTCTCAGAAGGCTGACATCAACAAAGAAATCTGACATTGCCTCAAATGTGCAGGTGCAGCCTTTGGATGCCTGAAGAAATGGGTGTTTGAAGATTGTGACATCAGATCTGAAACCAAGCTCATGTTTTATCAAGCAGTTGTGATCCCTGTTTTGCTGTGCGATGCTGAGACTTGGACAACATACAGGAGACATCTAAAGTTGTTGGAGAAGTACCATCAACTCTGCCTGAGGAAGATCCTCCAAATCCAGTGGGAAGATGGATGCACCAACTTTAGTGTCCTCTTGCAAGTAAACACCACTACTATTGAGGCAATGATCATCTGACATCAACTTCGTTGGGCTGGTCATGTCATCTGGATGTCCAACTCCAGACTCCTGAAGTGAGTTTTATTCTCCCAGCTCAACCAAGGTGCGTGGTCAAGAGGAGGGCAGAGAAGCACTTCAGGGATGTCCTCAAGGACATCTTTTAAAAAATGAAACATCAGTGTCAACTCATGGGAGACTATTGCCCAAGACTGCCCCAAGTGGAGGAAGAGTCTGCTGCAAGGATCTCAGTACAGTCAAAACTGTTATCCAGCATCCCCCGAGAATGGGGGATGCTGGATAACAAAATATGCTGGTTAATTGAGCGGCCCTGGCCACCGCTTCTCCCACTGTGTCTGGGGCATCCCTCTGCCCCTCCCATGGCATCGCCGCCCCTCCTGCGGGCCCTGCAGGACAGGAAAGCAGGCTGTGGGAGCTCAGCAGTGCAGGCTGCTTTGCCTCAGGCTGTGGGGGCTTGGAGAAACTGGAAGTGCTGCGGTGGGCACTTCCGGTGTCACTTTATTTTACAAGCTGGCATGCCAGTTAGTAAATGTATTCCCCATCCTCATACCTATTGTAGCTCATTGCCATGGCAAAATTCCACAGCACACATCATTTCTGACAGCACCCTTTTGTGCTATAGCACACTAGTTGGGAAACACTATGTGTGTGTGTCTGTGTATATGTATCAATTGAACACAATGTTTTATTGATATATTTACAATATTAAAGCAATTTGGAAGCCTAGCAGTGTCTCAATCACTATAATACAATAAATTCTAAATGCATATAAATTTTGGTATTTGATTTTGGGGTTTTTATCATGGAAACTCAGAGATCCCCCCTGCCCCCTTTGCTCCCCAGGACACAGCCCCATCCCTGCCCAACTCCCCCGCTCACTATGAAGGGCCTCAATTCCGCACCCCCACCCTGCCAGACTTAGCTGCGGGAGCTGCTCTCCCGGCTGCCTGGTGGCCATGTGCATTTTGGCAGGCTAGGAGGGGGGGCGTCCTCGCCACCTCACTGCACCTGACCACCTTCCAGGCTCCGAGTGCCTCCCTGGGGGCACCTCATGTCTGGCCGACCCCCTTCCTGAAGCACTCCTGCTAGCCTGGGGTAAAAACTGCCACCACCCAGGGCTGGGCTTTATTCTGGCTCTGTGCACCCTGGGAAACACAGGCCTAGTAGCCCTCGAGGGTACTTGACTCACTTCAAGCACTTGGGGGTGCTTCTCTCAGTCAGAAGCACAAGAAGTGGTTTCCCTTAGTCAGCCGAACCAAGGGGACCCCTTCTGGCAGAGTAACTGTGCCGCCCCCCCCCTCTTTTTTTAAAGGACCACACACAAAAAAACCCAGTTCTCATCAATATGTTTGCTTAATGTGGGCCATGTGTTTAATAGTCCTGCTCAGTGTTGATTGTATTTTATCAACTTTATAGTTGCTTTCCATTAGTGAGTTTATGCTGCTTTTGGCAGTAGTTTAATAATAGAAAATGTATTTAATGTGGTTTCCTTGTATGCAAATATAAGACAAGGAGCGTTTTTTCCCTTATGCTTTTTTGGGGGGGAAAAACCTTCTCTTCTATTTGAGTAATTATGGTATGAATAAAGTATTGAAGTGCTGTATAATGTACATTTACTATAGGGTAAAAGTTTGTTGTGAATTAAATTATATATCTGGATCCTTGACTCAAAGCTTTTTTTTTTTTTTTTTTTTTTTTTTTTTTTTTTTTTAAGTAAAAGTTCAGCATATAGCTGGTCCACCCATTTCTTGGATTGCCCTGTGGCTAATTTAAGGAAAGCAGACACAGAGATAAATTTCTACTGTCTTAATCATTAGCTTGGTAGATGTATTTTTTGTCAAAGGTTAGCCTTTAACCATGTATTGTTTTCTCCCTGCAGAAGGAAGCAGACACAAAGGAAAGGTCTGTTTTTGATATTCCAATCTTCACAGAAGAGTTCCTGAATCACAGTAAAGGTGAATTAAATTCAAATGTTATTTCTGGCAGCTGTGTCACAGAACTGTCAATCCAGCTGAAATATCAGGGGGAAGGAGAGCAGTGGTGGCAGAATGCTTTACATGAATGAAATTCCATGGTTCAGTGTATTAGTGTAGATACCACACCTTTTACAAGTATAAGTGATGAGCAGACAGCTATTCCAGATTTTCCTGCT